CACATGAATCTCACATACTAGCAGAAAAAAAACCGTGGCAGAAGCTAGATGTATAAAGTCAGGTCTACCAAACCCATCTTGGCTTGGGTTATAGCAGCTATGACTAACAACTATTTCATTAAAATTGATAAGTCTGAGATGAACACTGTAGCAACTGGTATAAACTGGAACTTTCCCAGAAAGAGCACAATGTATGGTCACCCTATTGCTATGCATACTCTGGGAGGGACAAATGACTAGTACTCCCCCTCAACTTTCCTACCTGCAGTGCATCCAGTCAAAGTCCCCCCAGGGGAAAAGGCACATTAACAGACCTCCTTGAATGTCTTCCAACACTTTATCACTTCATACTCCCAGATGACAACCTTGGGATTAATGGAAAGAATGAGAATCATGCAGCACTGATGACAGTTATCAGATAATTTCATAATGGAAGCTTTCTTCCTATCTCCTAAGTTCCTTGATATACAAAATATAAGTGAGGTTATATCCATTTCTGGGTCAGCAAGTGTTCCACATTTTTTATTGGTAATTTTTTTGATTCTAGTGAAAATCCAGACATTTTAACATAAGCATATTTCGGATGATCTACTTTTTCACTTTTGGAATTGAGGATTGTGTTGGTACTGAACAGTACTAATTTGACTGGATAATGTTAATGACACAGGACAGACTAGTTCCAATATAAATGAACCATAAACTCAAAGGATGGGACAGATATTAAAGGAGGTAATTATGTAGAGAGAGGTAATAAGAGAAAGGAATAGAGAATACATTTGACTAAGCTGAATGTACACAGCAGTATAGGCACACTGAACTTAGAAAAATTCGTACTTCAGCAGCACATGAATGACCAGACATTTTTGACCAGAATGATCTTCAAGTTCAAATTTTGGTCCAGTAAAGCAGTAGTGTAGATCACAATAAAAGGAGACTCTGCTTAGTCATTTAACTCAACTTCTCCTAGAGTATGAAAACTCCATTATTTACATCTCAATAACAAGACAGTAATTTTTACCGAGAGTTGTTTATTGTAATTAAACTCCTCTTTCATCACCGAATGTGCATAGCTGTCTTGTGACTTCTTGCTAGGTGTGGCAGAAAAAGCATTACTCTGGGAATGAAGTCAAACAGACTGTGACCTCACTTCTCCTATGCATTTTCTGTGGGAATCTGAGCAGATCAGATAAACTGCCTGTGCTTCGCTGTTCTCCTCTGTGACATGCAGGGAGCAAGTCAACAGTGTGGCACTCCTTAGCTCTGCATAAGGCTATCTCAGTTTCCCAAGCAGGTTTTTTTAAAAACCTTTTATCTTGTAAACCACGGAAGGCTTCTGGGAAGCTCATAGGGATAGAGGATGATGCAATAGAGAATATATGGATTATTTATTGCTGGAGAATAATCATCCTCTGGGTGTGACCATTTTGGAACACCCATGACTCTCAAGGTGGAGTACTTGTTTATTTAGAAACATAGAGTACAGAGATCTCAAATCATCCTAGGAAACTCTGACTTTGCCACCTCCCTGTTGGACAAAAGGAAGTGAAAATTGACGACTCGACTCTGGTATCCTGGACTGAGATGTTAGGGCTGTACCTTTCTTGAGGCTCAAAAGTCAGGAACCAAAGGGAAATGGAAAAGCATGGGGAACAGGGGCTGACAACTAGCAGATATTCCCATTCTGGGTGAAAAGATGTGAAAAGTTAGGTATGGTGAAGAAGACACAAGATGAAGCTGACAGTAGTTTCTAAGTATTTGATTGATACAGCTGGGAACTGCTTATTGGCTACCTGTGGTCTCTCTAGTGGGTTGAGGGAAGGGCTTTGGAAGCCCACTCTGAAATTAGGCTCTAGTTACCTAGACAGATGGGTTTCCTTTTCGGGAACAGAATTTAAATGATCTTGACTCCAGAAAAGGAGATCATTAATTTTCATGATCATGGATCTGTTGACAGATTTCTGCCCACGGGAAACACCCGGTTCCACACTGCGTTGCTTTATTAGTTTCATTCATTCTTGAATTCACACCCCCTCATTCCTTCATGTCCCAAGAAGCCATGCCAATTCTTTCTCCTAGAAACATCTTTTAAAAATTTTATTTTATTTATTTGAAAGCTAAAATGACAGTGAGAGAGGGAAAGACAGAGGTAGATGTCTTCCATCCACTGGTTTACGTCCAAAAAAGCCTGTAACAGCCGGGGCTGAGCCAGGCTGAAGCCAGGAGCTATGAACTCAGTCTGGGTCTCCCATGTGGGTGGCAGGGGCTCATGTACTTCTGCCATCTTCTGTTGCTTTCCCAGATGCATTAACGGAGGGTTAGATCAGAAGCAGAGCAGTCAGTACTCGAAATAGCACTCTAATATTGGATGCTGCTGTATAGGACTCTCTGCACTACAACACCAGTCCCTGTCCTAGAAATTTCTTAAAGCCACGCCCTCCTCTGAATTCCCCCAGCCTCTGCCTCCTTTCAGCTTTCCTCATTCCTCACCCATGCTGTGGTCACTGACATCTCATTATAGGTAAAGTTGGACTCCAACAATATACTCTCCACAGATCAGCCAGAGAGAGCTTTATGAAATAAAAATATGATTACATTTCTCCCCAGCTTAAAATGCTCTGGTGACTTTCCCTCATCTATAGGAGAAAGAATAACCCAACCAACAGAGCCTTTTATGACCTGTATCTGTGGACATTCATGTAGAGCCTCCCTCCAAGAGCTCAATGCTTTTGTAGGACTCCATCGACCATGGTATCATGGTGCCACTCCACACCTCTGTGTTCTTGTATGCACTGTTCATCCCATGTAGGATATCCATATTTGCAATTCAGAGACCAAGTTATATCCTTGATAAAGGGCTTCAAACAACCAGGCATCCACCAAAAGTTTAATGGGGAAGGGAGGCAGAAACAAAACATGTATCAAATCCTTCACCTGTTTTGATGGGCAAGGAGAAAAAGGGGTGGATAAAGGTGAAGACCAAACTCCAGAGGTAGATCTGGTCACCAAGAAGAAGCTGGTACCTAATGGAGTACTGATCTCAGGATATCTGGGCACAGGTCAGAGGTGAGTCCTCAGTCACTCCAGGGGGCAGTTTCAGAAAGTTGGAGAAAACATGGGGGTGAATCCTGCACCAACACAGCACTGACTGTGAACTACCATTAAGCTACCATTAAGTTGGTCAGTGATTCTCAGCTCTTGCTTCACACTGGAATCATCCAGAGAGCTTTATAAAATCATGTGTATCCTCTGGGACATCCTGATTTAATTTGTTTGGGATACCAACTGGACATGGCAAGTTTTGAAAACAGAAGCACTGACCATCAGAGATCAGGGAAGGTTTCTTGCAGGAGGATTATTTGAGCTGAACTTTGAAACAGAAGTTAGCACATCAGATACTCACATGTAGATGAACAGGATATGGAGGAGATACAAATCATTTGTCATCGCCAAAGAAAATAAGAGAAATCAAGACGGAAAAGCCTAGCACTCCTTGCCTAATAGTGCGCAATATATTTTGGCAGATAACAGAACTCTTTGAAGGGTTCAGTTTGAAATGTAACAGATCAGAATTGGGATGCTTATTTGGACTTCAGGGAGGAAGAAAGCTTGACATGGACCAGGAGAAAAATCACAGATAGAGTTGCTAGGAAGGAAACTAGAGGAGCCTCAGCCATGCAATGGAGGTGAGAGAGAGTACGGCTGGGAGGACCATGAAATAACAGCAATGGCAGGACTTTCTGTATGAAGAGAAATGGGGGAAGCGACTAGCTCAGTTTTGTGAGATGTGTCTAGTAGTATTGTATAAAGCTCAAGAAATAGGTGAAAGACAAGAATGAAATTAGCCAAAAGTTAAAACTTGGAGCCTATGAATTTAGGTGAGCTCTTCCAAGAAGAGCACATTGTAGTAGTGTGGAAAGAAGAGAGTTACAACAGAGGATCAGGAGATAAAACAGAGGTACCAGTTAAGAGGGATGCTCTGAGATCCCGGGGTAAGGCAGGGCGGAGAAGGGCTACATGTCGCCAACAAGTACAAGGCAGTAGCACCTGCATGCCTTTGACCCTGGCTACTGGAAGGTGCTTTGGTTACTGCATCAGGAATAATCTCAGAGAAGGTTGGGGTGGAGGTTAAACCGCACTAGAGTGGAGAGTGAACAAAGGTGAGAACACAGCAGCCAATGTATCATTGTGAGAACATCGGTTTGGGTGCTTTTCATCATTATATGATTTTATTGCTATTAAAGATGTCAAAATCCTCATTTGTGGGCCCTCAAAAAGTTGGAAATGAGAAAGTTTGATGGGCTTCACACTGCCAAAAATATAAAAACTATAACATTTAAAATTTTGCTTGCAGAACAATTGGTTTTCAAGAGGATAAACAGAGCTTTGCTAGTTAGATTTCACCCAAAGTCTTTGATGGTTAGTAATATATAGACTGAAGAAATCGTCAGGGTTTAGGAAGTAGAACCAAGCTGATTTCATTGAAATCAACTCATTTCCTGAGAAGCCTTTTCCACAAGATCACTGCTAACACAAATTTCAAAATAAACTAAGAACTAGGTCTTTAAATTACTAGATTTGAAGCATTAAATTAAGAGAAAACACACTTCTTCAATCATATTGCTTTCAATAAACAATTTTTGTGAGCACAAGACTATTTCTAACAAGTTTTCCTCATTAAGTTCCTGTTGGTGGGTTTTACAGCATTCATCATGAATTAAAGTTTAGCGCATTATCACATTCACTGAGATTTTTTGGGGATGGGTGTTGAAAATGGTGCTGACGGTTGTTCTGCCAAAACATTGGGAAACCATTGATTTTTAACTTCTCGGTTTGTTTTTAATTGGTTTTCGGAGGTAAGTCCCAACGTTGAAACTGTTCTTGAGCGCACACACCCCAAGTAAGTGAAGTTCCCCCCTCTCTCCTGCAGAGGCCTGGCCCCTGGCCAAGGCAGGAGGGTGCGTGGGAGTCTGGGGCCCCTCCCCGGGTCCAGCCCCAGGTACTGGGAGTCGGGGCTTGCTCAAGTCTGTGCAATCCGACAGCTGTGTCATCTGCCACAGCCTTGCCCTGGATGAGACGCGCACGAAGCACCCACGAAGCAGGAACAGCGGCAGCAGCAGGAGCAGCAGGAATCCACAAGGTACCGGGCTGCGGAGGAGCTCGGCTCCCCAGGCAGATAACTCTCCCCTCCCCGGAGCTCCAGGCCGGAGGAAAGCTAGGGGCGAGCCAGGGCGAGAGGGAGCACGGGGAGACGCAGAGGAGGTAGGAGCGAACCGGGAGGGAGAGCTGCGGGACCGCGGGGCCTCCGGGGGCTCCGTCGTGCAGGTGTACGAGCCCCCGCGCCCAGAGCGAAGGCCGAGCTCCGGGGGCTGCGACGCGCTGGCCCGGGCGGGAAGCTGGTTTGCCGGGGAGCGCACGGTTTTGCCATCCCCGGCGGCGCCCAGGCTCTGCGGTTCGCCAGTAGGGGCCGTGGCGGGTCACGGAAGCCGGGGGACTCCCAACCAGTGAGCGAGAACTTTGGAGGAGATTAGGGTCCGGCGCTGCGGGCGCAGGAGGAGGATTTTGGGCCACCTGTCCCAGGGAGGCGCTGGGTGGAAGACTCTTCTGGGTCTGAGATCTGGCCAGCAGTCAGCTTATGGGTTACCCCTCTCCTCTCATTCCCCACCTTTCTCCCTGTCGATTCTCTCTCTCTAGAAAAAGAAACAAAAACCAACTTCTCCTCCTCCCCTGCCGGCCTGTTGGCCGGAGCCGGAGCACGCCCCCGGGTGCCCTTGTGTGCATGAGTATGTGCCTGTGTCTGTGTTATTGCGTGTGGGTGGTAAATGCTATGCCGCCAACTGACAACTGGCTGTAGAAAAGGAATGCAGGTGAGGAAATGGGACGAAGGAAGAGGAGGGAAGGAAAAAACCAGAAAGAGGCGTTAGCAATTAAGAACAATTAAAATGTGAGATCTATGCCATAGTTTACTTCATTCCTTTGTTGAACAGGATGATGAAACACGCAGATACACACACACATTTACCAACCCAAGTTCATGACTGCCTCCCCCTGGGTCCTAAGCTAGTATGTTAAGGTAGAACCAAGCCCAGATTTATTTGTGTCTCCATTCATCTCCAGTTTACCTGATTCCCTCTTTCTTTAAGTTTCTTTGGTACCTTCTTCTGGTAGACCCTGTTCTGTGAAGTTTGAATATTGCATCCTGGCTTCCAGTTTCGAAATACGCTCAAGTGCAAGGTGAGTTTGTTTGGGGCTGGGGGTGGCTTGGAGGCAGGCTGGACCCTGCTGTCCAGGGCCCTCCCTCAGCCATCACACCACCTCCCAGCACCTGCAACCCTGAACACAAACCATGGGGTGGGGGTGGGGGTGGGGGTGGGGACTCTATGGTGTGAGGGCAGTAGAGAACTTCAGTGTTTCGTTCTATAATTAATGAGGATAAAGTTGTGCAATCTCTGCCACTATTGTATTTTCTTGGTTGATTTTTTTTTTTTTTGACAGGCAGAGTTAAACAGTGAGAGAGAGAGACAGAGAGAAAGGTCTTCCTTTCCGTTGGTTCATCCCCCAAATGGCTGCTAGGCCTGCGCTGCACTGATCCTAAGCCAGGAGCCAGGTGCTTCCTCCTGGTCTCCCCTGCGGGTGCAGGGCCCAAGCACTTGGGCCATCCTCCACTGCACTCCCGGGCCACAGCAGAGAGCTGGGCTGGAAGAGGAGCAACCGGAACAGAATCCGGTGCCCAACCAGGACTAGAACCTGGTGTGCCGGCGCCGTAGGCAGAGGATTAGCCAAGTGAGCCTTGGTGCCCTCCTTCTTGGTTGATTTTTAAAGACATGTTGTTACAATCTTTGAAGAATTTTCAGTGGTTTGGGCTATGGTTCTATATTTAGTGCATTGCCTTTACAATTAAAAAAATATAACCACACTTTTTGGAGTCAGACATTTCCTCTTTTAAAAAAAAATCCCTTAGGCGGGAGCTTTAAGTAGAGCGTTTAATCCTGGAGGTGCTCTGGCTGACATAACATTCCTTCCCTTCCTCCAATCTCAGTCACTTAATTCTTCTTTTGTCTTGTGCTGCTGAGAAAGCCAGAGGACTCTGCCCTTGCCTTCCCGAGTGGAAGACCATTTCAGAACCGCTGTGCAAGGCACTTTGTAGCCCAGTGGGGAACTAAAAGAAGAAAGATCATAGGACTACCCATACGCTTATAGAAATGCACACCTGCTTGGCAATTTTTATTTCTAGGCTGAGATTCCAGTGTATTTTGTTTTGCTTCTTTGCTGATTTTCCAAACTGGAACACATTTTTCTTGTTTAAAATCTTTGAGTTAAAAATATATAAACATGTAGAAATGTGATAACATAATAGAAAAAATAGCTTATAGGGCCATAGGATTATGGATGATGATTTGTCCTTTTCAAAAAAGAGAGATTTATGCATTTATGTATTTGAAATGCAGAACAAGAACAACTGAGAGAGAGAGAGAGAGAGAGAGAGAGATGAGCATGGCAGAGAGAAAAGACATAATAACTTGCCAGAATTACAGTAATTGGTGGTAAGCTGTAATAAGTTTTTACTACTAGGAACCAGGTGCCTGCCTAAGTTAGGCTCCTGCCTCTCAGAGCCTGAATGTTAGGGACCCTATCTTCCTTGTTGGTTACATTTCAAAAAGATAGCTTGCCCTTGAGAAAAGCAGTCTGGGGTGTAAAATTTTCATGAGGCTTTTAACAAGATTTACATCTCAAAGGGAAGAGGACTTAATTAACAAAGAGTTCTAAAGTAAATGGCTTTAGGAAAAGAGAAAGCAGGGACCTGAGGCAGGAAGGAACTTGTTTAATTTGCTTATTTAGTCAAGTTTAGCTTGAATAATATTCAGTCAAGCTGAGAGGAGCCTTAAGACTAACACAGTTTTGGCCTTTTTTTTTTTGTTGTTGTTGGAAAATTATATATGTTTTTGGAATCACCCTAATTCAGAGTGAACATTCTGCTTTCCCGGTAATCTATATTTCAAGTCACATAATCTCAAACACTCCAAATTTCATGAAATCTGTTCAACCATTTTTGTTATGATGACAGAAATACAGCTTTTATTTACCATAAGTGGTCCATAGTTCTTTACAAGTTGGTTAGAGACACCAAACTGAAAGAAGTAGTATAATTCTTAAAAATTCAGATGAGGGGGAGGGAAAGAGGGAGAAAGAGAATATCATTCTATTCTTTTTTTTAAAAAAAAATTTAGAGATGTATTTGAAAGAATGAGAGAGAGAAAGAGAGAAGGAGGGAGGGAGGGAGAGAGAGAGAGAATGAGAATGAATCTTCCATCTGCAAATGGCCTCAACAGCTGGGGCTGGGCCAGGCTGAAGCCAGGAGCAAGGAGCTTCTTCTGGGTCTCCCACGTGGGTGCAGGGACCCAAGGACCTGGGCCATCCTCCGTTTCTTTCCCAGGCACATTAGCAAAGAGCTGGATCTCAAGTGGAGCAACTGGGACTCCAACTGGCACCCAGATGCGTCGCAGGTGGCAGCTTAGACTGCTAAGCCATTGCGTTGGCCCCCATCACATTTTTGGAACTATATCTTCGAACTATATTGGATCTGTTAAAAGCTAATGAAAAATTAAAAACTAAGAATCTTAAAGAAATCCCATTCACAATAGCCATCCCCCATCCCCTGCCCCCAAATCAAATGCATCTCTTCCTTAAAAAAAAAAAAAAAAAAAAAAAAAGGATTCAGACTTTGGGATTAGTGAGTATCTGAGTGTTTTGGCTGAGCTGCTAAACTTTGTGCAGTCTCCTCACCCCTAACATGGGGCAACACTGTGATGAGCTCACATGGAGCTGATGGTGGTCAACAAGATGACGCATGCAAAATGCTGACAGCAGTGCCTGGTAAGGAGAGCAGTTCCTGGCACCAAGGCCCTGTTGTCCCGTTGTCCATCGTCATGCTGGTGGGCAGAGGGGGAAGTAAGCAGGCCCAAGGGTGCCTGAGTCCCTGTTGTGAAAAAGGATACCACGTGGACTGGAGTTGGACACTTTGTGAATAAATCAGAGTATGGTACTGGTGCTGTGTAAAATGTGTCTATTCCCCAAACATTCAGCGACTGAAAACAGCACAAATGCATTCTATTGTAGATCTGGAGGTCCTGAATGCAAAACGAAAGAACACAGCCCCTTTTATCCCATTGTTCTCCAGAAAACCCACTGGCTTTTTCCAGCTTAGAGAGGCAGCCACATTCCTTGGACAGCAGCCCAGCATCACTCTGACCTCTGCTTCTTCCATAGTAAATTCTCTTTCTGACTCTGACCCCTCTGCTTCTCTCCTATAAAGTCCTTGTGATTTCATTGAGTCCTGCTGAGATAACGCAGTCCCAGTTTTTGAGGGTTGGACGTGGGTGTTGTTGGGGGTGAGTTATCCTGCCTACCACTCTTAGCATCCACCAACAGGGCACTAATGACTGAGACTACATGAGGGCTGGCGTGATGTGCTCTTGGGTTGTGTCTTTGACCCAGACCTTCCTGATGGACGAACTCCGTGAAGGAAATGACAGTTTTGCCATCAAGTTATTAAAGATGTTGGGGGAAGCAGAAAAGTCACAAAATGTGTTCTTCTCCCCGCTGAGCATCAGCTGTTCCCTCGTCATGGTCTACCTGGGGGCAAGAGGAGACACTGCAGCTCAGATGTCACAGGTGAGCATCCCTGCCACTCAGGAAGAACTGACATGATTCTCCATTGCTTCCATGGAATTGGTCTCCTGTTTCCATGGTGGCTGCTGAAAGTCTGCGCAGAAGGTAGATGGGAGGAGGGGATGTGGATGGAAAAGTGAAGTGTATAGGACAGGTCATCTCTGATGTGTATGGGAGAAATCAGGTCAAAGCTGTTTTCTTTGGTTGAAATCATCTGCATATTCTGGCAAAATTGCATGTTTGATAAATGTGATAAACTTCAATTCTGCCCCACACAGAGGCAAAAATTTCAACCTTGTTATATTTTAAACTCTTGCTAATATTACATTTTAAATTGAAACACAGTTGTATTAAATTGGTTATTTTTGGTGCGTGAGTATGTGTATATGGAAAAGAATGCAACATAATTGTGGACTTCAATCTGCTGGAGTGATTTAGAGGGAATGTATGATCTGACTGATATAAATGGCGATCGGTAGCCTTGTTTATGCATACGTAGTAATTTATGCATGTGGTGAAAATTTCCATGGACGTCATCTTGCCACTAATGTGAATGTGTATTCTGTATGGATGATTTCCTGCAGCACATCTAGGACCCCAGACCTCAGCTTAAACTCCCCAGTGATAGTTTCAACTCTCTGGATGAGGGAGGCTTTGGGTGGGGCTGGCCAAGAGACACAGGAAAAACAGCAATTTTTACTTTTATCTGACTTATAAAATCATAGTCTGATCTGGAGAACTTCTGAAAAATTGCTAATGGATGTTTTCATTTTTACTTCTGCTCTATATTGTATTTCCTGAGTCACATTAGATTCATCTCAGCTAATTTTTTTTTTTTTGACAGACAGAGTGGACAGTGAGAGAGAGAGAGACAGAAAAAGGTCTTCCTTTGCCGTTGGTTCACCCTCCAATGGCCGCCGCGGCCAGCGCGCTGCGGCCGGTGTACCTCGCTGATCCGAAGGCAGGAGCCAGGTGCTTATCCTGGTCTCCCATGGGGTGCAGGGCCCAAGGACTTGGGCCATCCTCCACTGCACTCCCTGGCCACAGCAGAGAGCTGGCCTGGAAGAGGGGCAACCAAGACAGAATCCGGTGCCCCGACCGGGACTAGAACCCAGTGTGCTGGCACCGAAAGGCGGATAATTAGCCTAGTGAGCCGCGGCGCCGGCCCTCAGTTAATTTTTTTTAATGTTATGCCTCCCTTCTGAGTTATTGTATATAGTACTGACCCATCTTCCTAACATGGGTAAATCTAAGAGACCAGTGGTTCTTAGCCAGAGGCACTTGGCAAGGTCTGGGGTTTCAGTTTCCACAACTGAGAGGTGAGACAGACATCCAGTGGGTAGACAGAAATGTGTCAAAACATCCCACAATGCATTGGACAGCCCCACCATAAAGAATTATCCCGCCCCAAATGTCAATAGCACTGATGTTGAGAAACTTTGTGCAAGACAATTAAATCAAAGTCCTTTTCAGATAGGTGCAGAGACTGGTTTGGAGATAGCTCTTTGAGGGACTATAATGTCAATGCTATAATGGGCACTGTTTTCTATCACCAGGTCCTTTGTGTGAACAAAGATGGAGATGTCCACCGAGGTTTCCAGTCACTTCTCAGCAAAATTAACAAAACTGGCACTCAGTACTTGCTCAGAATTGCCAACAGACTCTTTGGAGAAGAAACATGTGACTTCCTTTCAGTAAGCAGTACTCAAACATTGATGCAAAAGAAATTGAAAATAGAAACTCTGGAAGAGCTAAGAGTGAAGTGCACCCACTGCCTTAAAAATGTGTTCAGAATTACATTAATGAGAATATAATTTTGAGTTATATGATTATTCTGAACTATGTTCTTTTAGATTTGCTTCTGACATGTTCTTTCCAGATGTTAGTGTGTCATCCTCCTGTGCCCAGACCTGCTTCTTCCCCTGATTTCTTTTCTCCAGGTGACTACTTCATCTCACATGTTGTCCAGAGTTCCTCCACTGGCCTGTCTCTGCCTGCAGGGCTGTTTTCTGTCAAGATGTCCCTTCAAGATCTCTCTCCTTTTTTTTTTTTTTTTTTTTGACAGGCAGAGTTAGACAGTGAGAGAGAGAGAGAGAGAGAGACAGAGAGAAAGGTCTTCCTTTTCCGTTGGTTCATCCCCCAATGGCTGGCTGCGGCCAGTGCACCACGCTGATCCGAAGCCAGGAGCCAGGTGCTTCTCCTGGTCTCCCATGCGGGTGCAGGGCCCAAGCACTTGGGCCATCCTCCACTGCACTCCCAGGCCACAGCAGAGAGCTGGACTGGAAGAGGAGCAACAGGGACAGAATCCAGCGCCCCAACGAGGACTAGAACCCGGGGTGCCGGCGCCGCAGGCGGCGGATTAGCCTGTTGAGCCGCGTGCCTGCCTCAAGGTCTCTTAAATTTGGTCCCTCTTCTGAATCACTACTAGCATTGCTCGAGTTATAGTCTCACCTCATTTTCCACATTATTATTATTATTGTTTTGAATTGTTTTATCCAAGTCCAGCCTGGTCCTTCCCATTGCTCATAAAGCCACACTACTGATAAAAATATATTCTTTGAAAAATCGTTTATTTATCTACTTGAGAGGGAGAAGGTAGGCATATATATTCAAATAGAGAGAAAAAGGGGGGGGGAGAGATAGAGAGAGAGAGAGAGAGATCCATCTACCAATTCACTCCTCAAATGCCTGCAATCAGAAAGATTGGGCCATGACCAGAGCCAGTAGCTGAGAAAGCATTCCAGATCTACATGGGTGGCAAGAACCCAATTACTTGACCCATCCCAGCTACCATCTAGGATCTGCACTGACAGGAAGCTAAAGTGAGGACTCAGAACCAGAAATTGAACCTACATGTTCCCATGTGGGACACAAGTATGTTAAGCATACTTATGGTGTAGCTAGTGAGGCTGCCACCTGCAGTGTTGTCATCCCATATGGGCACCATTTCGAGTCCCAGCTGTTCCGCTTCAGATCCAGCTCTCTGCTGTGGCCTAGGAATGCAGTGGAGGATGGCCCAAGTCCTTGGGCCCCTGCACCCATGTGGGAGACCCGGAAGAAGCTTCTGGCTCCTGGCTTTGCATCAGCGCAGCTCTGGCCATTGCGGCCAATTGGGGAATGAACCAGCAGATGGAGGACCTCTCTCTCTCTCTCTCTCTCTCTCTCTCTCTCTCTCTCTCTCTGCTTCTCCTTCTCTCTCTGTGTAACTCTGACTTTCAAATAGATAAATAAATCTTTAAAGGAAAAAAAAGCATCAGGCTGAATGTCTGCTCCCCGGAATAGTCCTTTTAAGTTGAAAAATCTATTCATAAACTTAGATTTCAGGGGCTGGCACTGTGGTGTAGTGGGAAGGCTACTGCCTAAGGCATTGGCATCCCACATGGGTGCTGGTTCGAGTCCTTGTTGCTACACTTATGATCCAGATCCCTGCTGATGTGCCTAGGAAGGCAGTGGAGGATGGCTCAAGTGCTTTGGCCTCTGCACCCACACGGGGAACCTGGAAGCAGGTCTTAGCTCCTTGCTTTAGTTCAGCCCAGTTCTAGAGGTTGTGGCCATTTGGGGAGTGAACTGATGGATAGACACTCTCTCTCTTTCTCACTGTGGCGTTCTCTCTCTCTCTATCTCTAACTCTGCCTTTAAACAAAACCCTTAGATTTAAGCCCAAGTATTTCCTATTTACTCCATCACTTCATCACACAGATTCAGGGTTCCCCTGTTTGCTCAAGAGCTGACATAACACAGTAACGTCCAAAAATTATGCTGGATAATATGCAGGATGATATTCTCTTGAGATTATTCAGGTGATAAGAGAAACTTGTCCATTGGTTGGGGTTCCAAGGATTTCTGAACTAAAACTCAAATGCATCCTTGTCTTGGATGCTGTTGGCTGATGCCCCATGGAAGTTGTCTTCTTTGAGACCACTTCTCACTGGAACTGATTCTAAAACCCAGGAATCTCCTGATGAATCAACATTTGTTTTTTGAACACCAGCCTAGTCTTTGAATATTGTAAATTTAGAGCAAAAGAAACCAACATCTACTTTTCTCAGTTGCTTTGGATTCTCCTTCCCTCTTCATCATCTTTCTTCAGTAGAAGTTAAAATATTTGACAATAGAGAACGGACAGATGATTGGACCCGATGTCTAGGCATATTATATCTAAAACTAAGTGGGATGAGCTTTTGGGGCTTTAATGCACTGGGTATAGGCTTCTCCTGTTCTAATTCCATCTTACATTTCAAGACTTATCTCCTATTACTGCATATTCCCTGACCCCTTCCCTGGAAGGTGCACACAAACATGTAGAAGCACACATATACCCACATGCCCACACATATATTCACCTGTACACGTGTAGTATGCTCACACCTGCACACATACACACATACATAGTTGCATACACACAAAGATAAAGGCATATTGCATGTGTTCACAAAGGACCTTCCCTGTTCGGTATTCTCCCATCTTGACTCAGATCCAAAGTGCTGTTTCATTCTTAGTCTACTGATAGATCTATACAATTTCTTCACAGCCTAGTTCTACTATGGAGCCTCTCAATCATCCAACAGATAAGTGGCTGTTGCTGGTGATACAAAAATAACTAAATAAATGGAAGCAGAAAACCAAACAAAATCAATGCAGAGTGTTTGAAAGGGATGTACCTGGGTTATTTTGTTTGTATGTGGTGACAGCCAAGCCATCCTGTAAGTATCTGTGTGTACAGGCTGTCTGTCTTATCTGCTGTGGCAGCTGTCACATCTTCACACTGGTTTCAAGACCCTAGTACAGTCCTAGACACAGAGCAAATAGTCCATATATTTTTGCCAATTTATGAATGCATCTTAAAGTGCAGAATGGCTTGTGTAAATATTTATGGTTGAAACATGTTCAGAGAAAAAGGTAATTCTTCCAGTTGTGGGGACTTTTGCCAAATAAGACCATGTGTTTTGTGTTTATAGTCCTTTAAGGAATCCTGTCGGAAGTTTTACCAGGCTGAGCTGGAGGAGCTGTCCTTTGCAAAGAACACTGAAGAGTGCAGGAAACACATAAATGACTGGGTGGCAGAAAAGACAGAAGGTACTATATTTTAATGTTGTTGGGATGGAGGGAGAGGATGAAAATAGCTGAGATGGGACTTCCATAGTGTCTCCAGTATGACCAAATTACCAGAGGCCTGTTTGTGTGTGTTTTCTGGGTTTTTAGGCTAGCTGTACAATTTTGTTACTTCTCTTGAGCTTTTCAGATCACAAAGTAGTGATTTCTGAAAAAGTATTTAACCCAAATATTAGGATCTCAGGTCCCCTTACCTTGAGACCATGTTGGAAAACGCCCTATCCAAATGCTTACTCTTTGGGGCCCTGTTTATCTTCTATCTGAGGCAGGCTGACATTCAATTAATTTGCAGCTTAGACATGGCAATATTTTGTGTTATCACACTGTTTCTAGTGGTAACATGAATAGCCCACTAGTTTGATCTATCACCCAATCTCTCCTTTTTAACTTGACTTTGGCTATATTTGCTCCAGATTGTGGAGGTACAGGTAACATGGAGCCTGCAGTGGGCCCTCTCCACACCACACTGAACATCACAGAAATATTTCTGCCAGTTCTTGATTTCATTATAAAGAAAAAGAAGGTATGCTTTTAAGACCCCAAAATATCTAACAGGAAATATTAATTCTTCTAAAATGTAAAGGAATTAATTTACTGAATTAGAGTTCAGTATTTTATCCATTCAATCTTTATGGAGCATTCATTGTGTGCCAAGTAGCATCAATGGCCATAATTATACTGTAGACCAATAAAATAATTACCAAGGGAAGGGAAGGGTACACATTTGTAGATTGTCCAGTGGGCTCTTACTTTCCAGTTGACTAAGCAGTGCTCAGTCACCTGAGGACCCTAGCAAATTCTCCAATCTTGCCCTTCTGCACTACACTACCTGTGACTACTCACACCCTTCCTTCCCTTAGGTTGACCACTGACATATTTCCCTCAGAAAGTAGAGCTAGAGAAGACCTTGGGGGTCTCTTTCCCTCTTTCATTGGACACTCAACTTAGCCCCCTCTCCCCCATCCAATCCCTTTAATTGCAAAGTCTGAGTCACTCCTCTCAGGTAGCCTGTTTTTTCCCCACTTAAAGGTATGTATCCACCACCCTTTGGAAATCTCTGTCTAAGTGAGACTTGAGGGTTGGCATAGAACAGTGTTTCAACCAGATGGTTTTGTTCTCAGGTGATCTTTGATTATGGCTGGAGACATTTTTGGTTATCACAAATAGGGGAGGTACTACTGGCTAGCCATCCTACAATGGCAGTCCCAATGCCAAAGATTCATCTAGGCTAGTATGTCAATAGAGGCATGGTTGAGATATTACAATGCCAGAGTTGAGAGCTCCAGAGTCAGGATCAAGACTCCTGGGTTATTTTCTCAGTTCAGCCACTTACGATCTATGTGAACCTGGGGAAAAGCATGCAAATTTCTACATCTTGAATTTTACATCTATAATCTGATGCCAAAATCATAGTTGCCCTATCAACTTTAAGATTGTTGTCAGGGCAAACAATACACTGTGTATGAGCACACAAATAAACACCACTGCTGTGATTCATCAGGCTGCCACAAAGGTGATTGCAACCCGGCTCTTGGCCAAGACTATGTTTTATATGTCAGGGATATTTTTGTAAAAGGATGCTTATTTCTCTCCAAATTAAACTTCCTTCATATTCTTTACAGGTAAGATTTCAGAGGTGCTGGGTTCTGGGACAGTTGGTCCACTGACTAAGCTGGTCCTCGTCAATGCTGTCTATTTCAAAGGAAAGTGGAATGAGCAATTTGACAGGAAGCACACAAGAGGAATGCTATTTAAAACTAGCAAGGTGGGGAAACAGTCGACAGTCTTCTGTTAAACTATTTTCTCAAGAGAGATGATGAATAGAAAAGCTGGGAAAGATGATAAATAGAAAACATAATTTGTTCACACTTTCTTTATTCTTAATTTTATTTATAAACCAATTTATTTCCCCCCTGTATATTTTATATGGGGGGAGGAGAGAAACTAAAATATTTTTTCTGTTGATACTTTTGCTTTTCTGTTCTTGTTCACATTCATCTTCTAACTCTGGTTATATGATTTGGAGGAAAATTTCTAGGAAGCCTTAGAATTATGTCACTTTTTGCTATTACTGTCTGCATTTACTGAGACATATTTCTGTATTTGTTGCCTGAGAATTCAAGGCTAGACACTTCTGGACTAATTAAAGAAGTGTCAGCAGATGTTAAGGCTGAAGCACCTTTCTTCAGTCTCTTGAGAAAGAGAATGGCTGGGTTCAATAGTTTCCAGCTTGGAATTTGACCTCCATCAACTTAATAATAGCATGTGGCACAGAGATAGGAAAGCTAAAAATACATTGCATGCAAGCTTTAAAAATTTCTGATCTTGCGCATCTTGTTAAGGCCCTTTCCCCAATGAAACCAATGCAATAAAACCAATTATATAATTGGGAAACTTTTCAGAATAATAGTATAACTCACTTTGGCTTATACATCTTTTATAACCACGCTTTTCAGCCTGAAGACTCGAATATTACTTAGCACGACTTCTAGCTTGGATAAATAGAATTTCATGTCTGTCTGTATTTGTGAAAATATCCTCTCTCACCTGGTAATGCTAGCTTCTCTTTAACAAAAGCATGTTCTACTCAATACTAAGATGTACTAATGCCGATTTTACTTCTGAAGCATAAATGCACAGAAGTGATTTGACCTATCTAATCTTTAGTAAGTTTTTTCATTTTTCCATAATCAGATTTTAACTCCATGTTTTATTAGGAGGAAAAGACAGTGCAGATGATGTTTAGGAGTGCAAAGTTTAAAATAAGGTATATAGAGGAAGTGCATACCCAGGTCCTGGAGCTGCCCTACACAAATGAGGAGCTGAGCATGATCATCCTGCTTCCTGATGACAACACTGACCTCACTGTGGTGAGTCTTGGGCATTGAATCTGTGTGTCTAGAATTCCTGATGAGCTCATTTTTAAAAGTTCTTCTACAAGGTGGTATTTGAGGAGTTTCTAATTTCAGGTTATTGTAAGTAGTGCTGGATGAACACCATTGCATATCTTCTGGTGAACATGTGTATGCATTTCTGTTGACAATATATCTAACAGTAGACAAGTATTTTTTAAAGATTTTATTTATTTATTTGAGAGGTAGAGTTACAGACAGAGAGCATGAGAACATAGAGGGGTCTTAAATTTGCTGGTTGACGCCCCAAATGGCTACAGCAGCTGAAGCTGAGCAGATTTGAAGCCAGGAGCCAGGAGCTTTCTTTGGATTTCCCATATGGGTGCTGGGGCCCAAGCAGTTGGGCCATGTTCCACTGCTTCCCCAGGCTATCAATAGGAAGCTGGATTGGACATGGAGCAGCCAGGACTCCAGCAGGAACCAATATGGAATGCCGACACCACAGGCAGAGGCTTAGCCTAAGCCACAGCACCGGCTCCCTATAGACAAGTTTTGATGAAGCTAAAAGGAGCTCCAAAAGTAAAAGAAGACATTCTTTTATTGGAAAAGGAGGGGCCAGTTGAGGGTCCAATAATTATTGGAAGTTCTTGAAGTTCTGGAAGAAGGGTGGGAATTGATCTTGGCAGTGTTTCTCAAGCATTACTGTGCAGATGAACCTCCTGAGGATCTTGTTAAAATTCAGATTTTGATTCAGCAGTGTGTGACCTGAGATTTTGTGTTTTTAACATGATTCTGGGGGAGGAAGGTGCTATTGCTACATGAACTTCACTTTGAACTGTTCCATGAACTCTCTACCTTGACAGGAGAAGAGAGATCATTTCCCAGGAAAGGAAAAGAACAGAGTCTAGAGAAGGAGACAGTAAACTTGTAAATGCAGGAGGTTCAGGGCCAACAGTGTGCGGGTAAAGTAGCCCTTGGGAGGTGGGAAAAGCCCTCATGTATAAATTTTGCTGCTTCTCTTAGTGTTAATACTCCCACCTTGGCTGCCATCGAGCCATCAAGAATCTAACAATTCACATGACCTAGCTTCAGCATGGCAATGCACAGGGCCTTAAGGGTGAATTGTTTGATTTATTGATTTCTCTAAGAAATCATAAAGCTATCAGCATTAAGTCAAGAATGAGATCTGTCTTGGCCATTCACAAAAAAGTTTAGGAGTATTTAGGAATCTAGCCAAAGCTCAAACACTGTCACTGAAGAGGAGCAGTTACCTGCACTCAAGCTGGTAAAAGGAAGGGGGCATACAAGTACAAGCCCCTCTTTCTTCTTTGTTTCTTCTTATGGATGAATAGAATGAATGACAAGTGTTGGAGGATTTGAAGACACTCCAGGAAAGACAGAAGGAAATCAAGAAGGCCACACAAAATCATTATGTTGATTTTCCAATGTCTGCTCTCCCTTCATTCCAGCTGATAACCCAATTTCCCCGTCTTTCATTCTGAAAGAGTCTTCCCCTTATTCAATCCTGAGTAGCCCCCTGATTGGGTGAAGATCATATTTCTTAGCCATGCTCTCTAGTTTTGTTTTGTTAAACAATCTCTCTAATTCACACTAACGTGTATTGCATGAATAAGCACATAATCAACTGGTTAGACTAATTTTTTCACATTTGAAATGATTTTGGTGCAAACTGCCTTTATTGAAAGTTTATGCTCAGGTGTTTTCTAGCTCTTTTACTTTTGTATCTACAAAATAAAGAAAAGATGAGAATTTGGGGGGAAATATTGGTAATTTTTATAAGAAGAAAAATATCTATAGAGTGTATTGGACTCATCACCTTGTTGTATGGGGTTTGGAGAAAGGTTATAAGTGAGTGGGTACCAGGATATTATCATCTATATTTTTAAAGATTGGAATCTTTGTCATTTCAGGTGGAAAAAGCACTTACATATGAGACGTTTAGAGCTTGGACCAATACAGAAAAGATGACAAAGAGTAAAGTTGAAGTATTCCTTCCCAAACTAAAGCTGGAGGAGAGTTATGACTTGGAGTCCTTTCTTCAACGTTTAGGAATGACTGATGCCTTCGAGGAAACCAAGGCTGACTTCTCTGGAATGTCATCTAAAAAGAACGTACCGTTGTCCAAAATTTCCCACAAGTGTTTTGTGGAGGTCAATGAGGAAGGCACAGAGGTGGCTGCGGCCACTGCCGTGGTCAGGAATACTCGGTGCAGCAGAATGGAACTGAGATTTTGTGCAAACCGCCCGTTCCTTTTCTTCATTAGGCACAATGAAACCAACAGCCTCTTGCTTTGTGGCAGGTTCTGCTCTCCATAAAGTGGTTTGGACGCTGTACTTGTCCCCTTTTCCCTTCTGCCTACCCAGTCTTGATTAAAAATTCATTGTGACAAAATTGATGGTGTGTCTTTAATGGTGAAACAAAGGGTGTGCACCTGGGGACTTTTGTGAATGTCTTTGCTGTAGGCTCCGGAACCACTCAGAACTAACATGGCTTCAGATGTATGAAGCTTGGTGCTGAGACAGCTTGTTTTGAGGTATTTGTGATTCTTCTCATTGTCTCCGTTTTCAACAAAAGTCTGTTCCCCTGTTTGTGGGCACCTTTGGGAGCATCTCAAGGATCCACAAACTAGTCCTTGACATGCTCTTCCAGCCTATGATGACCTCCAAGATTTGTCTATCCACTAGGCTCACCTGGCCCCAATAAACACAAAGCTAAGGGTGAACACTATAAACACTGTAGTCACCCACTGTTTCACAGACAGCTGAGATCGTGTCTCTGCCTCCATCACTACCAAAGATAAGGTCCTGCATATCCCTGTCTAACACAGTTCCTCATGAAAATAGCTTCTTTAGTTCATCCCATACTCCCCAAGGCTCAACAGTGAGCTTCAGGATTGGGCTAGCACATCTCTGAGATGTGCCAAGTCATTATCTTCTTTCTTCTTCCCTCTGAAACACGCTCCATCCCACAAATGTTCACATCAAACAATTATTGGAAGCAATGACCCCTCTAGTTAATTAAATTTGTATATGCTCAAACATGAGTCAAGCACACCTCTCACTTAAGAAAGGATCTGCCTACTTTTTATTTTCTAACTAAACAAATAATTTGTATTGTGGTAGCAATTTGAAAATCATAGAAAAATTTAAGTTACAAAATAAGAAGCAACAATTTCACCACCCAACAATGATCACTATTAATAGTAATTTCTATCTTTCCTCATTCTATGTATGAAATATAGATTTATAAGTATTATAGCACAAGTTAATCATATACTTCTCTAGCTTATTTCCACTTTTCCTTACTATAAGCCTTTCTCAAGATAATTCTTTTTCTAGGTCATGAATTTGCATAGTTTTCTACTATATGGCTGTCATTTTCTTATGGAATCTACTTAGACAACTTAAATAACTGAAATTGTTTATATTATACACCACACTGTTTTGACTATGCAAAGAATTTGCTCAAATTTTTAATATTTATGAAGAAATAATGTTAAAATGTTACTGTCAACTTAAAAGTTGGGCATATTTTGAGTTTTCCAAATTGATCTCCAAGGAGTTAATTTGCACACCCACTTATGTTACCATTTACACTTCCACTAACTTATTTTGACTTCTTTATGAGTTAGAGTGAATAGTGGTTACAGTTGACCCATTTTTGGTACACAATTAATAATTACATGAATCATGCATATTAGAGTTCTTACTTAAAATTCACCAAGCTAGAATATATTCTTAGTTAGGTTACACTCACTTCAAGGGCAACATATTTCCAAACCAGATTTGGCCAAAAATTAATTCATAGAACTGGAACATGTATATCTGTGTATTTTGATCTTGCCTCCATTTTGACTTGTTTTTAGAGATTTATTTTATTTGAAAGGCAGAGTTGGGGGAGGGGAGAGTTCCATTTTCTGGATTACTCCCCAAATGGCCCCAATGGCCAGAGGTGGGCCAGACCTAAGCCAAGAACCAGGAGCTGCTTCTGGGTCTCTCACATGTGTGCAGGGGCCCAAGCTGTTGGATCATTTTCTGCTGTTTTCCCAGGCACATTAGCAGGGAGCTGTGTTGAAAGTAGAGCAGTAGGGACTCAAACTGGTGCCCAAATAGGATGCTGGCACTGCAGACTGTGGCTTAACCTGCTATGCCACAGCACTGGCCCCTGCTTCCAATCTTTTAAATGTACATTTTTGCTGAGATATAACTATAAATTTTACATACTTAGTATGTACAATTTGATGAGTTCTGATACATTAATGCATATATGAACAAATTATCACCACTTTCAAGATAGTGAGCTTTTATCTATCATATCTCAAAGTTTCCTCTTGCATGTCTCCTGCCCTCTGTCCCACCCCAATCATCTACACTCACTCCTTAGGAAACCACTGATTTACTTTCTGTCACTGTAAGTTGAATTGCATTTTCTAGAATTTTATCCCATTTTTGGTATGACTACTATAATTCAGTACAATTATTTTGAGATTCATTCATATTGTATTTGTCAATAACTCATTGATTTATTGAATGAATATAGATATGCCATAGTTTGTTTACAATTTAACTTTTGATGGAAATTTAGATAGTTACATAATTTGGCTCTTGCAAATAAAGTTGTTATGAATATTCAAGTATATGTTTTTGTATGGACATATTCTTTCATTTCTTTTGGGTAGATATATAAGAGTGGGAACAGCTGGGTCATATAGTAGATGTGTATTTACCTTATGAAGAAAGAGTGGAATTGCTTTCCAAAGTGGCTCAATCATTTAACATGCACTGTACATCATCTGAGATTTCCTGTTCAGTGTCCTCACCAATACCTGGTACTGTCAATGCTGTTACTTTAGGCTTTAGTGGCAGCTCACTGTGATTTTAGTTTGCATTTTCCTAATGAGTCATTATGTTAAATTTTTTTGTGAGGGCATTTTCCATACATATATGAGGGATCTTTCTTGTTAATATGTATATATGTGTTATGAAACAATCATATAGTATGTCAAAATAAACTTATTTTAATGCCATTTTCCACAGACTTTCTAAAATACACTTGTATGTTCTGTTGTGAAATGTCTTTTTAAATTTATGCCCATATTTTATAGTTTTTGTTTTCTTACTGTATTTATATTTTTTAAAATTTGAGGAGAGAGAGGGAGAGGGGAGATGGGAGAGGGGAGAGGGGAGAGGGGAGAGGGGAGAGGGAGAGAAACACATTTGCACAAGTTCGCACCTGCTGGTTTACTCGCCAAGTGGCAACAATGGCTGTGTCTGGAACTGGGAACCCAATCCAGGTCTCCCACAGGGGTGGCAAGGACCCAACTTCTTGAGTAACCATCTGCTACCTTTCAAGGTGTACATTAACAGGAATCCGGAATCTGGAGCACAGCCAGAGCTAGGACTCAAATCCTAACATTCTGATATGGGATGCAGGCCTCCCCATTGTTGTCTGAGCCATTGGGCCAAATGTCTGTCCTCTCCCCTTACTGTGATTTGAGACATCTTGTATTGTGGATACCCAATTCTCCCAGTTCTTTATCAGACATGTTATTTATAAACATTTTATCAAAGCTCATGCTTAAATTTTCATTTGGATAATGAAAGTCTTTAAAAATCAGAGGTTTTGGGGCCAGCACTGTGGCATAGTGGGTAAAGCCGCTGCCTGCAGTGCTGGCATCCCATATGGGCACTGGTTTGAGTCCCAGCTGCCCCACTTCCGATCTCTCTGCTATGGCCTGGGAAAGCAGTGGAGGATGGCCCAAGTCCTTAGGCCCCTGCACCCACCAGGGAGACCTGGAGGAAGCTCCTGGCTCCTGGCTTCAGAACAGTGCAGCTCTGCCCGTTGCACCAATTGGGGAGTGAACCAGCAGATGGAAGCTCTCTCTCTCTGCCTCTCCTTCTCTCTCTGTGTAACTCTGACTTTCAAATAAATAAATAAATATTTTTTAAAAAATTAGGTTTTTTAGTTTTGATGATGTCGCTCCCCCTCTTCGTGGAGGAACGACACAGGACCCTGCGCTGTTCTTTTGTCTGCTCGGCCCTCCCCGGGTTTGCTGCTGGTTCTTCCCGGGAAGGGCGGTTCCCCCGGCCACTTTCCCCACTTCCACGGGGGAGGGGCACACCACCGGCCGGCTCTCTCGGGGGCTGCACAGGTGTTCCTTCAGATAGATGTTCCCCTTAGATGTTCCTGGTGCATGTTGTCTCTCTCCTCCTTTATAGTCCTCTTCCACCAATCCCAACTCTGCTACCCACAAGCCGAGTACGCTGCTCTCCTCCAATCAGGAGCAGCTCCTGCAGCTTGTCAAGTTGGTGAGAGGCAGCTGGGTAGAAGCTGTTGCCTCCTCTCCCAGCGCCATATTGTGGGAGAGCAGATGCATAGAATAAGTCTTAATTCCAGTAACTTAGTCTAGTCCGAGTTGCTCCCCACAGATGACATCAAATTTATTATTTCTTTTGTTGATGCATGATACATTTGTTGCATCTATGGCCTCTTTGCCTAATCCAAGGTTACAAGGATTATATTGCATGTTTTCTCTAGAAGTGTTACAGTACTAAATTTAACATTTTGGTTGATTATCTTGGAGTCCATGAACTCCAAATTTCCCCAAATTTTAGGTCTTCCGTAATTTACTTATGCATCATTTTGTCACTTTCAGTGTATATTTCTCCCACAGGTTTGGTTATATTTATCCCCAATTATATCCTATTATTATGCTATTACAATGTTGCTTCTTAACTTAATTTCCAATGATCTAATGCTAATATGTAGAAATATAATTTGTTTTTGTATTTCAATCTTGTATGCTGCAAAATCTTCCAGTTGCTTTCTTGTAGATTTTGTGTCTGTTAAATACAATTTTTCTTTTTCCTTTCCTATCAGGATCCTTTTCGTTTCTTTTTCTTTAGCTTGGACTGGTTGGTATTGTCTTCTAAGGTAATTTCACTATTGCCAATGTATTTTTAATGACTTCAATTCTCTTATAACATTGAGATTTATTTTTATTCCCCTTAAATATGATCCCCCAGGAAATGTTACATGCACAACTAAAATAATGAGTGTTCTGGTATTTGGGGGGTGTAGTGTTTTACAAATTTCCATTCAGTTGAGGTGGTTAGTAGTATTGCCCAGGTCTTCTGTATAACTGAGGCTGTGTGTACTGTTCTACCAGTAGCGCATAGAGGACTGCTGACACCTCTAACTACACTAGCTGAGGGGTACAGCTCAAGGACCAAACCCTCAGTGTGAGCTTCCAAACCTGACTGCAGGCAGCTAAAAGGCTTTGCCTGGTAGCCCAGGGTCGGCGAGTTGCCCTCTCTAGGGACGTGGCGCTGTGCTGTGTTGCAGCCACTGGAGTGAGCGCCCAGGCCAGCCGCGCCCTCACACACACCTGC